TAGTGAGGCACCTTATATAAAAAGATTACCTATTTAAGAGAAGCAAGCCCATGTTCTATAGGGGAACAATTAGTGGGACTATCTGGAGGTGCTGAGGTAAATGATTCTACTACTCATTTGATCCTTGAGAGAGATCATTAGCCACTGATATTGAAATACATTCCTTGAGAGAACGTCTAGAATTGGCATAGATACACTTCGGACTGTAGCAAGTTGAAAAAGAACGTTCGATGTCTTCAAGACTTTGTTTCGACGGAGCCGTAAACGCGTTGTTTGCGAGGGCGCTTCGTTTCGAATTGCACGCCCCTAGCCTTGAACCTCGAGGATTATTCATCTGGGTTCGTGCGAAAGCATCGTGTTTTTCGAATCTTTGATTGATTGCAGCTTATAAGTGCATGTTTGCGAGCAACGGATTCGGATCTGTTCTACATGGGTCTCAACAGAATAGTGGTTTGCAACGTAAGATGCAAGGATGCAAGAATGACTCTGAGGTCGCGAGAGTAACTTCTTAAGATGAGTCGTCCTGCGTGGTATGTAGTGGCATGACGTGCGGAGGCCTGGCAAAGGTCTGGCAAAGGTCTGGGTCGATGAAAGACAGCTCCGGAGCATCGAGATCTCAGAATGTCGTGACACAATTGGACTGCTAGTCCCAACAAGGCTAGCAATGTCGCCAGACGTTGAGATCTGGGCCGCCCAACCTCATCTAGACATCTCTTCTCGACTCTCCGAGTTTAGATCCCCAGGTGAATGGACGGTGGTTCACCTTATTTGACTCACTAATTAAGCCCCTATTTCGTCGCCGATTATATATAAAACCTGACACTTTGGCCTGCTAAATTCAGTACGCATTAGATCGTTGACTGTGACGATGCCTCCAGTCTTCCAGCTCCCCGATGAACTGCTGCTCAAAGTGCTGCAGCAACTACCAGGATTGCCCCGGGCCCGACAACGGGACATACTCAACACATCACTCACATCTAAGCGTCTTCGCCCAATCGCCATCGAAGTTCTCCTCGTTCATCCCGTAATCCACCTCTCGCGTGTTGCACAGCTCGCGCATCTGTATTTCCGGAACCCAAATTTGATCCCTAGAGTGCGAACCGTCGAACTCATGAGCGCCACTGTAAAGACGAATCCAGATTTTGTCACGAAGAACATGCGCCTGATCGATGGCATGGAATATCTCGACCGCGAATACCAACAGTTCTGGGGCCATCTTATCGACGGTTGCACCACGACAGCTTCTAGTCGAGCACACTGGGCCCGGGATCTGGAGAATTTTGACTGTGCGGCTTATCTCGGACTGCTGCTCGCCATGCTGCCAAACATGAGCGAGCTGCTGCTGGGCCCCAACTTCTTGCACTATTATCCCATACTCAACCCGCTCATATGCGATCCCGAGTCTGAGCGCAATGGCATCCTCTCGCCGACGCGAAGCAGCACGCCGTATCTCGACGACGTTTTTGACGTGCTGAGGAGAAAGCTAGTCGCTCTCGAGTTCCCCGTTTCGAGCTATGTCACCAGCAAGGTGTACAATCCAGTGACGAGAATGTCCCGAGTGTGGAACATCCACAGCCATCTGGGGCCCATGTCACATTTGCGCTTCGCCCAACTTCGCAGCTTGACGATCCCCTGCTTCATGCTAGGCCAGTACCGCGCCATCCTGCCGAGGTGGAGGATCCACACCATGCTTCCCGAGACCCTAGAGGTCTTGCGAGTCGTCGATGCGTTCCACCTTCCCATCCGATGCTTTCTCCGAGCCATCTTGGAGTGGCCAAAAACTTCTCCGGCGTTGAAGCGGGTAGAAGTGTATTTCCATAACCACCCGTATGATGCGGACTGCGTGAAGCGTGAGAGGGGTCTACACACCCATGCAAGAAACTTAGGTGTCGAGTTGTACATTCGACATCCACATCCACCGGTTCTGTCGCCTCGCGGCATTTTCAAACCGATTGCCCCTATTTTCGATGCCATGGATGCAAATGGGCAGCCTTGGCGGTACACGGAAGAGGAGCTTTTGCAGCTGGAGGAGCAGGCATGGCGGCGACGGTATGGCGAGTAATTAAATTATGTACCCCTATTAAAGAACTTTTCCCTCCTGTACGGTCATGGCGTTTGACGACTTAGCCCTACTTTTAATGAAAGAAAATACATTGTAGAAGCAATCGTACGCTCCCAGAGCGAATATTATAGGCAAGAGGTTATATATGACAGAAGGAAAGGCCTATTGAGGACAGGAAAAGCAGACGAACAAGTAGATAACCTCCCAAACAAGGAAACAAGTAGGCGAACAAGTAGAAAACCTCCCAAGCAAGGAAGGTAAGTAGGCGAACAAGCAAAGGTAAAAAAAAAAAAAAAAAAAAAAGAAACCCAGAACGCGTTAAAGAATAAGCGTAGGGAAGACAGGAACGGTCCTGTTTTCCCTTACTCATTCTCCATAAAGGTAGAGCAAGTGAGGAACACAAGCCCCTTTTTTTTTCCCACCACCATTCCCTTACTCGTTCTCCGCGAAACAAAAAAGCTCAGAAAACACGAACGCAAACATGCCACCCATCATGAGAGGGGTCAAACCATCATGACCAAGGGAAGAAGACGCCAAAATAAAACGAAAAGAAAATGGCCATGAAAAGGGGAAATCCTCAACTGAATTAAACGCCAAACGCCAACGTCAAATTACCCTTCCCCCCCCTTCATCAATAAGAACAACAACAACACCAACAACACCAACTCCAACTCTAACAACGCCAATAAAAAGAAGAAGAAAAAGGAAGAAAAAAAGGAAATCCGCCCACCCACCCACCAGACCTTGTCTAGTAGAAGCGGACGGCCTCAGCTACAACCGCACAGCTATGTCCAGCGGCGCTCAACTCGGCCTCGAGCGCCTGGGTAGACACGGCGAAGTACAAGGGCCCCTTTGGGACGGCGACGGTGAATTCGTCAAGCCACAAGCCCTTGAGGCCGTCGAAGGCGGGCACGAGGGTGACGCGAAGGGGGTCACTATCGGGGGTGTAGCGTCGGGAGCGCATGACGATGCGGATGCGCAGACGACGAAGGCCGGTCATGGCGTGGAGGGCGCGGCAGGTGGCGGCCCAGCTCATGTGGGAGGTGGGCCACACGGGGGCGGATGGCGGTGTAAGCGCGGCGGCATCGTCGTAGCTCAGCTGTCGGGATTCAAAGCGAAAACGGAGGTTGACGGAGCGGATCGAGGCGTAGTGCTTGGGCAGGATGGAGTTGCGGAAGAAGGCGAAGGTCCACACGTTGGTGAAGTGGAACGTATTCTTGGTATAGAGGACATGCACGGCCTCGGCGTAACTGGGATCGGTGAGACGGTGCTTGTGGAACTGTGGAAGGGGGTACTTACATCTTCTTGCAGGCTAGGGCCAATGGGAGCAAGCTCTTGTTCGACCGTTTACGCGTTGATACCGCAAAGAGCTGCTTGGGGATCTGATTGACATCGCAGTCACGGCACCGTCTGTCCTCGGCATCGCAGACTCGGTGTCCCATATCCTTGTCATCACGATCGATGTGGAAGTCCTGGTCGCCAACAGCGTGCTCCCAGATCTTCACACGAAGTTCGGCGGGCAACCGGTCAAACAGCGGGCCAGCCGATGGAGTGGTCTGTGGAATCGTGTAATAGTGTCCGAGGTTGCTCCTCAGCCGCTTGTACGCTTGAGGTGGATGAGTTTCCTCAGCAGAGGGTGTCAAGGCGCGCTTTCGCTGGGGGGGTAGTGGGTTTGCGCGGTTTTTGAGGTAGATGGCTATGGCTCTAGTCCGCAATTGTCTGGCCGTCCTGGAACCATTGGGGCCCGGCCGTGCGGAGGCTGCGGGCATAGCGGGGCAAGATGTCCTGTAAGGGAAGAAGTGGTGGTGTTGTGGCATGGAACTCTTCGTCACAAGGTGTCTTGTGGAAGAACAAATGATGGCGTTGTGGAAGGCAGGTCTCTGTCACAGGGTCTCTTGTGGATGATGGAATGGAGGAGCTGTGGATTCGTGGAAGGCAACGAGGAGCTCAATGGGTACCAGTAGCTAAATAGGCAGACTGGATGGAAGATGCCGTTCGATTCGGAACATCTGAGCTGGGTTTCCGCCAGAAAGAGACCAAATCACGTAGTTCACAACATGCGTCACGTACATTGCTTGACGCTGTGTTACGACGGGAGGTGATTGATAGGAGGATGGATAGAGGGGACGGTGACACGGATGGCCGCCTGATGTTGTTTCGCCACACCCATGCTTCTGGCTTGCGCAGGTCACGGCGCCACGACTTCACAGGCTTCATTGCTCTGCCTCTCTGCAGAAAAAGCATCCAGGAGAGATTCGACACAGCATTTGCCTCTTTTGTTCACATCCGCAGATCCCATGACCGCGAAAATTCAGCCGCCTCACAAAGATGGCAAAATCGACTCGAACCCCCCCCCCCCCCAAGCAGATCGTCCGATCCCAAATTTCCCATATCAGAGACCTTTGTTGTGGTCTCCACATCTCGGACCGCACCCACTTGAGTAAAAGTCTGGATTGTACTCCCATGTGTATCCTTGGAGGTTCGTGAGGCGATGGGTGCGCAACCCGAATCCAGCCAGCGTGGGTGGTGGGGCAAAGCTCCCGCCTGCCGCGTCGGGACTTGCAGAATTGCTTTCTCAGGAGTGACCACGATAATCGGATCGTGGCGTCCAGACACTACTTTGTACACACCGTAACATGGTACGTCTGTTTCCTCCCCAGCGTTGACACGGAGTTGGAGACTGAGATGCCCCGAGATGTATGCTTCGCAAAACGCAACATTATGAGAACGACAGAGAGCTCAGCGTCTTCCTTGTGCACAGTCGTGAAGCCACCACCGCTACCTCAGGTTGCTGTGCCGCGATAAGCACAGGCGTTGAAAGCGCACACATAAAAGGGTACCAAGGTTTGCGATGCGCCTAGGTCCACACGCGGAATTTACACGCACATCGAACAGGAAATAGGTTAGTATCTGAGGCGAGGTTGCAGGGTACATAACAATGTCTCCACGTATCCCTCGACTCATCCAGCCATGGTCCACTATTCCCATTATGCTGTCCCAGGGCGAGGGTGACATCGAGGCAAACTGGCACCAAATGCGACCTCACTTCTCCGCAGCCTGCTGCCCTACGGCAAGGTTTCAGGGATGCCGCAGCCGCAAATCGCCGAGGACGCTCGTGTATGCAACAAAGCAACAAATTCATTCAAGTAACGCCAATATGCCATATGCCCTATGCCGTATGCCCTATGCACTGGGTATTGAATCCTGTACCATCTTCCCACCACCAAAATACGCCAGGTCCGAGCATGTGCGAGATACAAAGTATGTGCAGAGAAAAGAAAAGAAGCAGGAGACGAGGCCCGACAAAAAGAAAGCCTATGGCTAGCGGGAAGCTCGCTGAGAGGACGGAAACATTTATCAGATGGAAACTCGTGTTCCCATACCCACGCACAATGGCACCGGATGACATTGAAGGTGGAGTAACGAAAAGCAACCTCGATAAGAGGAATACGTGAGGCCAACTGTCACCCAATCGTTTTCCGACAGCAGGGCAAAGCAAGGGAGTTGCCTGACCGCTTAAAGCCAGAGTCGCACAAACTTTGTTGTGTAATACTGTTTTGGCGCCCGAAGCGTATGCAATGAAAGGTCGGCGTGTTTCTAAGAAAGTGGAGGTGTCATAGTTTCTGTGCTCGACATGCGGGAGTGGGGATGAGGCGGCGTCTGCTTTAGGATCTCGCTGAGTGGAATGTCAGCTTCGAATTCATTGGTGTCGTTTGAAGTCAGTGTGTGCTGGCTATCTTTCCCGTCCAGATCTCGTACAGACGAGGGTTTGCTTCTCGATGACTGGTGCATAATTTCCGCAAAGGCACGCTTGCACTCTGGCCACGTCGTCGATATGTAGATCATCGCATTCCAAAACCCTTGCAAGGGAAGCACCAACGCCGATGCAAGGTTAAGACCGAAAATGGGATTGTCACGGTTGATGAACTGTTGCAACCGATTGATGGTTGAGGGAACCCAAACGATGAACAAGGCTGCAAACATGAGGAAGGCCACCTTGAAGTACCCCCATGCAGCTGTATTTCCGTCCATGGCGACAGTACGGCGAATATGTGGAAGAGAGTGACTGGTTGACCGTGATCGAAGTTGAGAGGCCTCAACATCGGGAACCGTAGTAGCGCTGACAGTTGCCTTGTAGTAGCAGTTTGGAACGTCCACCTGTTCGTTTGCTTCATCCGTCGCACCGGAGATGCTCGCCCAATTCACCCGCGAGAAGCGAGTTTGAGTCGAAGAAGCGGGTATCGGCGATACGACAGGCGAGGAAAGTTTTCGCGTGCTGGAAAACGAGCTACGGGACCCATTTGGACATGTAGGCTCCACGTCACTCATGTCGGACGGTTTATCGGAAACAAGAACGCGGACTTCGCTCTGCACATGTATGCTTTTGGGGGCAACGGCAGTGAATGGGTTGGTAATCACAGGAAGAGATCCGGTGGGGGCCTTTCTGGAGAACGACCTAAGAACTGCGCGCCTCTTGTATATCCTATGTCCCGTGATGGTGTATATCATCAAGGTGCAACAAATGACAACCCTGGGGAGTCTTAGTACAGTCGACAGTGCATGAAATGTGAGGTGGTTACCAGACGGGGACGTAAAAGAAGGCAATGCGCATCCATTCGGCCTTGGGACCAACCCAACACCAAATCTGGTAACGACAAATCAGTCAAGCTCGTTGAGAAGTCCCGTGCAGACATACCGTTGCGGGGCCAATGATCTTCTGTTTGCCATAGTGATCGATGATGATAAAGACGAGGGCAGGGACGAAAGGGACGCCATAGCTGAAAAGCAAGTACCATTTTTCAAGGTACCGCAGTTGACGAGAGTTGTAGCCGCGGAAGAAGACCAGCATTACATTGAGAGCCATGCAGAAGACCTGTGGAGCCGTCAGTAACAAGCAATTTGGACGCTTGATCAATTGGTTCTGCATACCCAGAGCGAGTCTGCCATCATGAACCTATGGTACACGTGATTAGCAAAATACGGTAGGCGGGTGGGTGGAGGGCTACCATTGGACCAAGATTCCCTGGAACTCGCAGAGAGAGGACAAGACGTCTGGAGAGCTCGGTAGAGCCGATGTTGAGATCATGGTGGCCACATTGGCCATGATGTTTCCAAATGAGGCATAAAAGACAAGTCTGTTGATGGGCTTACGGAAGTATTGCCACCGAGTGAAGGTTCCTAGAATGAAGAGAGAGCCCATGAGGCTCATGAGGCTCATAGTGCGCTCCGACACGGTCACGGCCAGCAACTGATCTGAATGTAACGGCATCCTTCTCGTCGGGAGAGAGCAGTGGCGCGGTGTTTATGTGGGAAAAGTGGCGAAATTGCTGCGCGCGCACGGGACGGCGAAATGCCAGACGCAGGTACAGCTAGCGGAGCTCATACGGCGGAAAGCAGGGGGCAGACGTGGCTAGTGACTGGGATGTTTATTGGCACGAAAAGGCGCGGCTGCGAGGAGGCGTGGGCGGCGGTGTTGTGTCGGCGGGTGGGTCAATCGATAGAAGCTGCCGGGTGCAGAGGGGGTCTGGAGAGCCGGCGCCAAGCGAAGGCGTGGCAATTGGGGAGTTGTGGGGGTGAAGGGTACGAGACAGGGTAGTGAATGCGGATAGAGCACTGCTCGTCTTCCCCCGGCGGCGTTGAGGAATGCGGGGACTTGACACCGGTACGTATCGAGAGATTCGCGCGGCCAGGCGGGTTCGGGGGGTGGCTGAGATGTCTCTCGTGCTATTCGAGCACGGCAGAGAGAGGGAGGGAGGGAGGGAGAGGGGGGGAATGGCGATGATCCCTTTGGCACGACGGGTGGGGTGGCACGACGGGGTACAGCACTAGAAGGGTAAAGAACAAGGGAAAGAAGACGGGCGGGGGATTCGTCGTGTGGGACCAAGGCGAGAGAGACGTGGCGTGAATTGAGGATGAGTGTCGTGGCT